GTAGGATTTTCGCTCGCCAAGTGAAAGTTCCAAGGGAACGGTGCGTCTTCGCCCACTTCCTCGAGAAACTTGTCCAAGGCGGAATTCGGATATCTCTGATGCCACATCGCGGTTTATGCATCTGTTTCAACGTCGCGTCGTTAAGAACCTCATTATCGGATACGGTAATATTCCTGAAAAAAGCGCGATCGCTCAGAGCTGACGTCGCGTTATTGGACGATATCGTTTGTCGCTGTCCAAGTATCCGTACGTTCGGAAAAACCGAATCACTACTATCGAAACTACTAACGAAAGCGAATCGTCTCGCTTTATCTTTTCATTGATCTCGCATTCTTTTTAAATATCTTATCTTTAGAGTTATCTTATTTTTTTTAGCTTTCGTTTAATCGCGCGCTTCTATCTCTAACGATTCATCAGAAATCCGACCGCAACTAAAATAGTTCGATCTTTACTCCTCTCGCGCTTTATTCGCGTTATCGAAAGACAAAGGAAGAAACGCGTCCGTCGCCGCGACGAAACTCTTGCGACGCACATGCGAATCGGAAATTTCAACCGCGATACGATAGAATTTTTTTATTTTTTTATTCTCTATTCTTTTTACTGAAAAAAACGAGAAAAAATTTGAAGAAGGTTTGAAGGTTCCATCGCTATTAATAGGCGAATCAGAATTTCCGCGATTATGATAAAAAAAGCTTTCAATTTCGAGTTTTTATAAACGAATCAGGGAAAAGGCTTATTCGCTAACAGAACAACAATATAATATTTTTTTTACGTTATATAATTGCACAATAAAATACAATGTACACACATAAAAAAAAAGTGTTGCATCACTCTCGACTCTAAGGGACTGTTATTGATGCAATATACACATTCAACGTCAGTGTTCAAGAGAGCTTGGAACCGAGGTGATGCAACACTTTTTTTTGATGTGTGTATAATATACAATATACTATAAAATATAAAATAAAAATACACATATAAATGTATAGATATGTAGATATGTAGATATATAGATATATAAATTATTTATAAATGTATAAATTTATAAATAATTTATAAATGTATAAATGTATAAATGTATAAATATATAAATGTATGGATATAAATGTATGGATATAAATATATGGATATAAATATATGGATATAAATGTATGGATATAAGTATATAGATATGTAAACGTGTAGATATATAAATGTATAAATATAAATGCATAGATATAAAATGTGTATACATGCAAATATGAATAAATGTTTTCTTAATCCCAGTATTCCAGTTCGAACGGTTCTATATCGAAAAGGGATCTTAGATTGAATAGATCCCCATCCAACAAATCGACATCATAGATATTGTTCCCGTTCTTTGTCTTCATACCAAATATCGCACATGTGCTGACGAAACCATGGTCTCTTCAATTGGATCCATTTCAATTGGATCCATGTGTTGAATATATCTTTTAATGTTTAATCGCCTCATACAAAGCTACTCTGTGCTAATTGAAACAAAAATATATACATTACAAAAATGTATTTGCATACGTCGTATCTATTGACACTAATATACTCACAAAATTATCCTTTTCCAAAAATTCATCTCCCATGCAACCGCGTAAGACTAATGGTACCGATAGCAATTCGTGTTCTACGATCGTAAAGAAATATGTTATATAAATATTCGCATAATTGTGTATAAAATATTTGTTATTATTTATTGATAAGATATACTCACTTGTAACTCGTCCCCCTTTAACGTTAGATAAAACGTGCTATTAATTTTTAAATCTCGAACAAGCATCGTACGCCTATTCGCTACTATCCACTAAAAAACAATAAACATCACATTGTTAAAAAAAACTGTATTTTAAAATCTAATATTTAAATAAAAAAATAATTTAACACTTACCTCGTTTAATACTATACTGTATGGTACACACTTTCACTTCCCCGTCGTTCATTGTGATAAAGCATCTAAAGAAGTTCATCGTGACACCACGTCTAAAGAAAAACTGACGAGAATTTTTTTCTAACGCATTAATCGACGGATACGCGTAAACGATAAGAAACGCTCTCACGCGGATTTAGGAAAAAAAATGCACGATTTCGAAAAAAAATTTTTTTCCTCATTTTTTTCGAATCGACGGGTATAATAAGCATACGTGATAGCGAGATTACTTTCGTCGCGACTCCGAAAATTCGGGGAACAAATCGGGCGAGATAACGTATTTAACGCTCTAACAAAAAAAGAGGAGCAAAAATATATTAGAAAAAAAATATTAAGTCAATAGAATATACGACGAGTCTCCTATCGTAGTTGCGGTTGAACTTCTAGTGTTCCATGCGTAATGAATAGCGTATTCGCACCTCGTCGTGGCGATGACGAACGGAACAAAAAAACTTTTTTTCTTATTTCGAATAGACGAAGTCGCGGATCAACGAAATACGAGATACAAAAAGAAATCTCTCGTCGCGCGATTAGGAAGAAAGACGCGCAATTCCCAACGAACGACGATCTCGCTCCCCCGAATCGACGACGTAATACGGCTACGAGCAAAGATAATAGAACGCAAAAAATAATAAAACGGAAAATAAAAAAACGATGGAATGAAAAAAACTAGAAAAAAACGAATAGAAATGAACCATAGACAAGTCCGATATCGTCGTTGCGATCGAATTTCCGGTAGCCGCGCGTAGTGAGCGCAGAAGAGATAAAGACACGTCGCGAAATCGAAATCATCTAAACATCCTTTTTTCCTCGAGAAGCGTTACCTCTTTCCTCTTTTACATCCCTAATAATATTTCTCCTGTTATCACCGCTTCTAGAACGATTTTTTTCCTTGCGCGCGACTCTCGCCTTTCATACATCCCCGATAATGTCACCTCTGGTATCGCTGATTGAAAACTTCCGACAAACTATTGATCCGCCTCTCGTTTCTAAGATATGTAAACGAGCGAAGGGGAAGGGAATTCTTCCTCTCGCGCGTTAGATTCGCTGTAACAACGATGCATATTAATGGCGATTCACTATTTTTTTTATTTTAGCGTATCTCGTAAATATATTCATTTTTACGTGATATATTTTTACGCAATATATACTTATACTTATACGTATTTTATATTATACTTATATACTTATACATATTTCTATACATATACTTACACATATACTTATACATATACTTATACATATTCTTATACATATATTTGCGCAAACTCGCACACTCTTTTACAATTTTATACAACCTCTCACGATAATTCGCACAAGCTTTTTTTATCATGTTATAATAATTCATACATCGCGCGTACATATATCTCTCGCGCGGTATCTCTACTCGCTGTCGCACTCGATGCTTCTCGTTTCCCCGCGCACTCTGGGCACTTTCCTCAGATCGTCGGTGGCCTGATTTATCAACCGTCGCACCAACTCTTTCTTTCGATTCGACGCAGAGTTCAAAAATTGAACCCTCAATTTTGCGTGTTTTCACTAGTTGCGCTTCTTCTTCTTGATTATATCCTTGACATTGTACACGTACAGCCGAACCAACTCGCAATCGGTCCCCTTCTCGCCCAGAGATCTCGCCTCGAGTTGTCACCCATCCTCCAACTTTGTCACGTACTGAATCGGTCGATCTCCTCCCCCGATAACGACACGAACAACGCGTCGAGACCGCCATAGATATCGTTCTTATCGCATCCAGATGCTCGCCGTATTCTCATATCCACTTCGAGAAAGCCTCCTTCGCTATCTCGATCTCCATAAACGCATATTCGCTCGGCGTCGCGGACCTCTCAACGAAGCGAAACATGCTCTCCCTCGAATAAAACGGATTCAACGGGTCTTTCCGCTTCTACACATCAGTGATAATATGAATAGCGTTCCTCGTACCCTCGGCTTCGCGTATACGCGCGATCGGCTCCATTCCTCGACGAATCGCCAGGTCTCGTCAGAAACGCCATCATCAAAGTTGCACAAGTTGCACAATGTGTAGGTGTATCCACATCGTATCAGCTCGAGCGAATTGATCGCATCGCTATCAGCTTCCACTGATCCTTGGTTCTTCTCCTTCTCTTCCCGTTCGATCGTCGATCGTTTCTCGCATTCCATCGTCGTCGCGCGTTTCTCCTGTTCCACCATCTCGCATTCTATCTCTCTCGAGAACTCGAACGGCTCGTCTAAGACCATTATTATCTCCTTCAATGGATCCTTCAATTGATTCCGAAATATAAACTGATTCTCCATCTCGAAGACTGATGTCGTCGATACCTTCAGTCAAATAAATACTCTAAGGCAGCGTCGAAGACACGCCAAACCATGACATTCTCCCGACGAAAAAAAACAGGACGTACATCCTCTCGTCATGAGACACACTAAGCTCCATAGAAGACGTTGAAAGGTAGGACGCGCGCGTTCCTCTCGTCACGGGACGCGCCAGGCCCGTAGAGAGGGCTCCGATAGCACACAACGCTGATTGGCCAATTAAATATAAAATTTTCTGATTGGTGATCCATTGAAAAATGCCTATGCAGCGACTGATATGTATGAATGTGTGCTATCGTACTGTGCGCTAACGAGACTCTTCCGCTCCGTAGACGACGCCGAAAAACAGGATCCGCGACATCCTCTCGCCATGGGACACGCCAGACTCCGTAGACGACGCTGAGCGCGCGCTAGCGGGGACGCGTCAGCGGACGACGCGCCAGCGAGTGACGCGCCAGCAAATAACGCGCTAGCGAAAAAAAACCATCCCAAAAAACGTGCCCGATCACGAGGCTCTTGATCGCTAGAGGGAAACCCTCCCCGATCACCAGGTTTCCGACCAACGGGGGGAACTACCCCTCCACCACGACCATCAGGGAAAGACCATTCCTACTGACCAAGAAAAATTACTCCGACAACCGCCAGGGGGATCCATCTTCGCGCGGCGCGGATCTCTCGGGGATTCTAGGACTCCCCCTCCACCGACACCTCCCTCTCTCCCTGGGATTTGGGGCCTCCCTTGTTTGCCTACTTATGTATATATATTATATATAATATATATATCACTAGTCACACTACTAATCTATATATGTTTGTTTATGTCCGCCATGTTTTGTCAAATTAGAAACTTTGTCCAGATTCTTACTATAGTGACTCTATTTCGTACGACCATCTATTTAATATTCAGAAATAAGAAATAAATTCTGCAGCTTTTATATCTTATTGTTTTACAAATTCAATAACGCATTATTATTCTTTATTATGTTCGACATTTTTATTTCTTTATTTTTATTTTTTTTTTTTATTAAGACTGCAGAAGCAATTTTTCTTCGTTTTACAATTCTTCATATTCTTTTTTCTTAATTTTTGATTATGTTTATATTAGGAATGAGCATAATTATCACATGTAAAACAAAAAATTTCTTTGATAAAGTTAATAATATTGATACCTATATTACACATTCGTACTTAGCTTTTTACAGTGTCGAGCAGTAGTGTAACACTGTCGCAGTTGGAACAGTTTGTGTCGGATACAGTGTTACACTATGTCATCTGTGTACTTTGTTGGAAAACAGTCTAAAACATGTGCTTTTAAAACTAAATAGTGATATACTATTTAGCCTCCTCTCCCACACGCAAATACACACACAGGTAAACATGTACACATATACACATAAACCTTTCTCAAATGTATAGGTAAATCATATATTATCTAAAATCTCTCGATTTATTATAAAAAATCGATTTGGAACATTACAAAAATAATGATAGAATACAACGTTTCAAACTGTTGCAAAAAAGTTAGCCATTTTCAAGTTTTGTGCTTAAGGAAACTTGATCATGAATTTTTATCATGCACTTTTAATCATGAATTTAAGTCGTGAACTATAACATACGAGGATAGTCTGAAAATTAGTCTTTTGAGTCTAACATAGAAACAAGTATTTTTTCGGTCAAATATAGTTTTATTTTTCAACATAATCTCCTTTTAAGTCGATACACTTTTCCCATCGATACTCTAACCTCTTTAACCTCTCCAAATAGTTAGCGTCTTGCTCCGCAAAATAGGCGTTTACGTATGCGATGATCTCTTCGTTCGATGAAAATCTCTATCCTCCAAGCGAAACTTTAAGCTTAGGAAACAGGAAAAAATCGCTGGGGGCCAGATCTGGTGGGTGATCAACCAATTCAAAGTGCAGTTCGTGAATTTTGGCCATGGCGACCGCCGAAGTGTGAGCAGGTGCGTTGTCTTGATGGAACAGCACTTTTTTCTTCTTCAAATGCGGCTGTTTTTTTGCAATTTCTGCCTTCAGCTTATCAAGTAATGATGCGTAATACGCTCCCGTTATTGTTTTACCTTTTTCAAGATAGTTGATACATACAATTTCGTGACTATCCCAAAAAACAGTCGCCATTACCTTCTCTTGATGGAACCGTCTTCACCTTTTTCGGAGCAGATTCACCCTTTGCAGTCCACTGTTTTGACTGTTCTTTTGTCTGTGGAGTATAATGATGGATCCAAGTTTCATCTACAGTTATAAATCGACAAAAAATTTGACTCGTTTCGCTTGAACCGCTCCAACAGGGCCTTGGAAATGTTCATTCGAATTCGTTTTTGGTCCAAAGCAAGCGCGACACCCAACGCGCGAATAGCTTGCGTATATCCAATTCTTCAGTCAATATATGACAAACACGTTCTTTCGATATGCCCATAGCCTCTGCTATCTCTCTAATCTTGATTCGACGGTCCAGTATCATTTGGTGAATATTTTCGATATCAGCGGTAGTCGCAGTTTTTGGCCGTCCCGTACGCTCATCATCAGCCAAGCTGGTATGACCACGTTTAAATTCAGTTACTCATCTTTTTACGGTGGCAAATGATGGGGCAGAGTCCCCGTAAACAGCGTCCAACTTGATTTTAATTTGCGCAGGCGTATTGTCTTTCAAATGTAAGAATTTAATCACGGCACGATATTCAATTTCTTCCATTTTTACAAAAACACTGACATCGACTGACACAAACGATTGTGTTCAAACAACAACTGGGTGTCCAAAATGGCTGAAATTTTCACAAAAGTCTTTCAAAGCATATACTATTGTAATACTAGAATGATTTTGACGAATAACGTCATCTTCATGTTAAGGCTCAAAACTTTTCAGACTACCCTCGTACT